CTAAGAATATGATGAGATTAATCTCAAAATGTTATGAGCTTAATTTAAAAATATATTATGTATTATTTTAAAGATGAATCTCAAAATGTTTTGAGATTAATCTCAAAATATTTTGGACCCTGGGAGGAGATCCAGCGCGGACCAGCGCTGAGACCAATGCAGACCCGAGGAGAGACTGGAGTGACCAGCACACAGAAACCAGCGCGGACATATAGAGACCGCATAGACTGGAGAGACCGGTGCGCAGAGACCAGTGCGGACCTATAGGAGAGACCGCATAGACTGTAGTGACCTGACTGGAGAGACCGGTGCGCAGAGACCAGCGCGGACCGAAGAGAGACCGCATAGACCAGACTTGAGAGACCAGCGCGGACCCGTATGGATCCAGGAGCATGCAGCACGGACCCGTATGGAGAGACCAGTGCAGACCCGTATAGATCCATGGGAGAGACCAGTGCAGACCCGTATAGATCCATAGAGACCAGCGCAGAGACTCAGCGCGGACCCAGTAACCTCCTGCAGCATCAGTATATATGCCGTTGTTCTGTGGCCCGTGGATAAAGAAATGCCCCCTATAAATAGGAAGGGGTCACTAATACACGGCAAGATTTCCAATCTAAGATATGATGAGATTAATCTCAAAATGTTATGAGCTTAATTTAAAAATATATTATGTATTATTTTAAAGATGAATCTCAAAATGTTTGAGATTAATCTCGTCTATTTTCCATGGGAGGAGACCAGTGCAGACCCGCTATAGATCCATGGGAGAGAGACTGGAGTGACCAGCAGAACCAGTATAGATCCATGGGAGAGACCAGACTGCAGACCCCGTATAGATCCGTGGGAGAGACCAGTGCAGACCCCGTATAGAGACCACGGGAGAGAGACCAGTGCAGACCAGTATAGATCCATGGGAGAGACTGTGCAGATCCGTATATGGGAGAGACCAGTGCAGACCCGTCTAGATCCATGGGAGAGACCAGTGCAGACCCGTATAGATCCATAGGAGAGACCAGCGCAGAGACTCAGCGCGGACCCAGTAACCTCCTGCAGCAGCAGTATATATGCCGTTGTTCTGTGGCCCGTGGATAAAGAAATGCCCCCTATAAATAGGAAGGGGTCACTAATACACGCGGCAAGATTTCCAATGTATTTGATAAAGCGTTGGCACATTTCATTTCAAAATGAATTAAAAAGTAGGCCAGATCTGCAGTGAAAAAGGCGGTATATAAATAAAGATTACTAATAAAGATTACTACAAATAAATAAATACATACATCGATATGACGGACATATCACTGGAATGTTGTATTTTTATTCAACTTCACCAAAGAGGACAACCCCGGCGTGTGAACATGTCGGCACTGAATGCGTACGAGTGCTCCTGAGGACTCGTAGGATTTGTACTTGCCCAAGAGAAATTCTGGTTACGAGAAATATTCGTGAATGCCACTTTCTTCGTAAAAACAGCGTAAGTAGGATTTACGTACAAATCTGTTCCTAAGAACCGTTCGTGAATGAGGCCCAATAATTGGTTCTCCTTGGATTCAGAGATTTAATTGAAATGTTTTTGAATGACTCAATAACATTTGATTAATAAAAAACATCTTCTATTTTGATGAAGGATTTTGTCGTACCAAAACTTTATAAACTTGGTAAAAGTTGTCTGAGCCTTGTTGCTGATGCCTTGCTCCTCTGGCAATACTAAGATTATCAGGGAAAAAAGAGGAACATTGGACATTTTGATAATTTATTTCATATGGCATACACTTTATCTCTGTGTGTGTAATATAGACATGAGTTGTGACTGATTCTAACATTTAATTAGCGATTGATCTATGAAAACGTAGAGTGCATTGATGGTGAGTGAAGTCATGCTGCTTGAGTGCTTAGGTGCCGGTGGGCAGTAAAACAGTGGGATGTTTCAGTGGAAGCGGCTGCAGCAGATGTAGCGTGCACTAATTACTTTTAATCTAATGGACTCTAAAACGCACATTTGTGGATGAGAACATGCACAAATGAACAACCTGTATATTACAAACTCTAGAGCCACTTAACTCAAATGTTTCTCACTTTTTGCCTTTTTCTCATTGAGGTCACCATAGCAGATTTGAAGTTTCTCAGATTACCAAAAGTTCTGTAAAGAATAATGTAACAATATAAACTTTTTTCTCTGACTTCATTCTAAATTCTAAACCAGCAAAGTTATGCAGAGAACATTTTGCTTCAAGGTTGTATTACGATACACCACATCTATTGATTTAGACATAATCACAGCACCATCTAACCCTAACCCACCATATTTGAATTTACTTTTCTGTTGTTGCAAATTTAAAGAAATTATTATTAGCAATCATTCAAATGTGGGTTTAAAACTTAGTGATTATACATTTTCTAACTCTTAAAGGGGCATTTTGCAACTTTTTATATCTTTAAAAATATATGTATGTATATGCGTGTTTGACCTTGGAGTGACCCAGTGGACCCAGCATGGTGCTTTTACTTCTCATCACGGTGGTCTCAAGGATGCTATAGGATCAATTGTTTAAAAGGTTTTCTCATCTGTGGGTACTCACCACTTTGGTCACAACCACGATCAAAGGTGCCTCACTCTTACGGCCACCGGGTCACTACAAAGTCAAACAAATACAAATTGACTAAATACATATCCTTCCTACCCTTAAGCCTTACAAGTATGTAATTACATTGCAATTAATAGAATAAGCTGTAACCTAATGTTCCACCAGCATTAGAAGTGATTTAAGGGCAAATGCAAAATCCAGGTAAACACCTTTGCATAATTCATGACCCGTTTGTGATAATAGGACATGAAATATTCATTAGGCAAATCACTTAACCATGGATCAGTTTTTAAGTTCAGAGGAGAAAGGCCAGCGACGAGGGCTACGACAAAAACAAACCCTCACCTGTTTGTATAAATGCGGCAGTGATCTTTTGTCCACCCATTCATTACAGACCGCTTTGTTATGCTTTTCTTTTTGCAAATGCATGCATTTTCAATCTTCTTCCAGCCCCCAGTGCAAAAGCCACTGCTATAAGAATACTCTATCTGCCTCACAAGTGCTCTTTCAGTGGCCCAAAGGTAACCAACCTCAATTATATCTGAAAGAGACCATTGCACTGGAATGTAATAAGATTTGAAGCTAAGAGCGGCTTTCAAGACTTTTAAAGGTTTTGTTCCTCTGCATTGACAGGTTTTGACTTCTGTTTCCGGCGGTTTCACAGAGAAGCGCTCGAATGTGCTCCCATTAAGGCGTGCAGTGTCTCCGAGCTACATTAACACGGATGATCAAAAGATACATGGCCAAGGCTGACTTCATGTACAGTACATCAAACAAAATGGGTAACAGGGGTTATTCTAGGGAGAATCTGCATATGTGTGCCGTTATTATTGAGGTCTTACTATGTCATATAATTCACAAGACAGCAAACATACAAGCAGTTGTTTAATAAGCCATAGCTGTGAGTTACATCTCTTGCCTTTGTTGCTGGCAAAAATGTCAAATTCAACGCAGTTAATCAAAGAGTAGGCATTCGGCATGTCAGAGGAGAGGAGAGGGGGCGTTGCTTTGTGAATTTCCTTCTTCTTGCAGCTGCGAGTGATGATCCTGGGGCTCCCGAAAGATTGAGCCAGGCCCAGTGCAGGAGAGGGAGGAAGTGTGTTTTATGTGGCAATCAGGGCATGTACAGTAGAGGGAATGTTAATAATAGAGATCCTTAAAACAGACATCGGTGTTGGCTGATAAAGTGGCATAGTCCTGAATTCCAACTCATGTAACTTGAAACATGGATTCAAGAGTTATTTGGTACGTTGAGCAGTACTTCTGGTACTGGTCAACTGAATTTATGAGCATTATTTTCCACAGTAGACATTGATTGTTCATTTACTGTATGTACACTCGGCTATGTGCACTTGGGCGGCTGGTTAGCACTCTCTCTTCTCAGAAAGAGAGAGAGTGCTTTCTCTGGTTTCTCCTACCTCTAAAAACATGCACAGTCGTTAAAATCCTCCTTCTCTGGTCCTGACCAAGAGCATGAATATATGGAGATAGGTCACCAGGCGCAGTTTATGGCAATGATTGCTCCTGCAAGAGGCACTTGTGACATTCAAGATGGGTCAAATGCAGAGGACGAGTTTCCCTACGAAGACAATAACGTATAATTTTACTTGCAGATCATTTTGGTCGTAGACATAAAGTTCTGATGTACCTACTGAGCTCTGAAACCTGTAAATATATGGGATTGAGAACCAACCATTTACAGAAATAGTTAAACATATATCTTGTAATTCAGGAGCTCATGTGGCAGTACTGCAGTATGTGTTTTTGATTTGTGAACTTTAGATGTTAAACAAAGCAATCCATTGCTTCATTACGCATTAAAACTTTCTTAACTCTGTTTTGATATTCACCAGAGCATTAGTTTCTACTAATTGAGTTGATTCTTGAGAGGCAGTGAGTGTGAAAGCTAATTCCAGTCAGAGCCAGAGTCTGTGCCAGTTATATCTATAAGGGCGTCCGCATAAGCTTTATCCTCTTTCCTCATGTGAATATAAGAGCTCTTGATTTAAATCTTGTCCAACTTGTTCACATCCCCATTACATCGTTGTCAGCTTTTTAAGACTTGCACGGATCATATTTTAAAGATGGTGACCTCCTTTTCATTGGACTGTGTTTGTGCTACTATCGGACACTTAGTTGTTTCTTTGCTCTGTGGTTGATGCTGCAGAGAACACATGCAGCTGGGGAAGATTCACCAAACCTGAGCGAGAAACAAAAGAGTAGTGGGCCACACGGGGTGCAGCAATTAAGCTGTTTTCAAGCTGTTAATTAAAAGCAAATTAGAAGCTGTGACAGGATTCGGTGTCTCTTGCCTTAATTGCTGGCAGTGTGTATGTGCCCAGGAAGCCACACCTGTTGTTTGCGGCTGTGTCTTTGCGCTCTCGTCTAAAGCTGCTGTATTTGTCTTTGCCGCAGGGACGAAGAGGAAAGGCTGGGGAGCAGGGCCCTCGAGGCATGCCTGTAAGTGATTTAAGCCACCACTGACTCTAAAATGTAACCACTACTGGGAAATCTGCATCTTTTTGTCATCTCATTAGAAGAGATAATTGGTGTTTGGTGTTCTTGCTAATCCAATCAGTAGCACTAACAGCTGTAATTTACTGACAGGCATCTTGCAAATGAATTTAACCTTTGAAACGCAATCTCTACTATGATAGTGGCTATAATCGAGCCCACGAAGCGACACAATACCCTTACTATTGCTGCTGCTGATGGTGCTTACCGTTACCGTAATAAACACTTTAGTCACTGAGATTCTAAAATACATTTGCTAAAAGTTGATGCTTCCAAATAAAATATATTTGGGTAAGGTATAAAATCAATATATCTTACGTATAAGGAAGATATGGCTCAGTTTTGTCTCGTCACCACACAAAATTATAAAAATATTGTAATCCACTCTGGCGTACCTATCTTTGAAAACACAATAAATTAACTTTTTGTTTTTAAAAATCATTGCTTCTTGGCATCATGTATGCACTATTGGCCTCTGGCACATATTTAGAGCAGCTTTTACAGCAAAAATGGAGTAATCAGCACTCAGTATGCCAAAGACAACTTAGGAACATAGGAATCTGAGTCACTTTTGTCTCATCATCACACAGAATATTGAAATGTTATACTAAAAACATGAAATATATTGTATTATTTATTAAAGCAAAACAAGGACAAATAAACCTTGCAAAGATCATATTAAAAGATTATTATTTATATCCTTAAATCCAATGCAAAACATGTATTGACCCGATCAAATAGCCCTCCATTATTCTGCAACGGCCACACTGCTACTGTCAGCGCTCCAAACCACAGGGGCTGTATTAAGGTAGCGTCGTATTGATGAGTAGGACAAGTCTGCCTATAAGCCCTGTTGGTTTCTTGAGTTATGGTCTTTCTCCTCGGGGTCCGGCGTGTTCCCAGACACGGTGGGACGGTTATGTGAAGTGACCCATCCGCTAAAGGGCACAAGCACCTCCATGCGTTCAGACAGAGACAGCTCGTCAGGCTCTGAACTGAGTCAGTGTCAGGAGAAGACAAGAGCATTTAGGCTTCAAATAGCTCAGCAGTCCAATTATTTTCATGCACTATTGACCTGATTACACTTTTGATCAAAACATGAAGAGACTCCATTTCCATCTGCAAAAGCTTGACAGAAAACAACTGTTGTGACTACAATGTCTCTTGTCAGGTAACAGTCATGAATCAGTCCAGGCATTCTATTGGGAACCATTTCTTGTGAATAATATTAAAACAAAAAAAACAAAAAATCAAATGCACAAAAACAAACAACATACAATTCACAAACTCTTTAGCTTAACAATAGAATATATAAATAACTGTGGAAGCAGCGTTCATTAGTCTAAGTTGTAAATATTTATGTTGCTCTTTTTTCCTGGTCAAAGTCACAAAATGTTATTAAAATACAAAAAATCTCATTACAAATGACAAAATACAACAGGGACAAGCGATAACTCGAGAAATGACTCATAGCCTCGAATGAAAGATGACGCATGGGCTCTTTTCATAGTCATTATTACCAAAGTGTCATGTTTGCAGCCTCCTTGCACTCGAGTCTATAGTCCTGGTCTATAAAGCAAAAGGTCGCCGTGGTACACTGTCTATACATCTTGTTTCTTTGAAGACACTCCTGTCAGTTTTCCTTCAGTGTGGAAGAAGTGTGTGTTTGAAGTTCAAGGTTGTTTTATTTGTACCAAAAAGGTACATTTCAGTTTTCCGTTGTTGACTGACATCAACATTTATAATATGCATAATGTGCAGGTAAAGGACTAAACCCCTCAATAATAATGATTCAAAACACATGTAGAATCCACTCTTGATGTGTCAAGGAGGCATTCTGCTGGTCCTACCTTCCTGCTGCTGTCAGACTGTACAATGAGAACTTCTAAGCCTGGACATGTGCCATTCACCTGTTCTGATAATCCTCTCGTCAGTTATCAAGTCACAAGTCAATTTACCTGCTACAATTACATAATTACAAATCCCATTCATCTGATAACTCTGCTCTGATAATTCACTAATCACTTTTCCTGCTGCTTTTATTACTATTCTTTATTCTGGTCATATTCTCTGCTGCTAAAGTACAAAACTTACCATCTGTAAATACTTAATGAAAAGGAATATATATGGTGTGTACTCCGCACGTGTAATTATCCTTGAACCAAGTGCAATTATAGTTCCAGTGTAATTATATCTCCAGAGTTTTATTATTTTAGTATTCTATTCTATTATCTTAAATAATTGATCCTGTTGTGATGTGTGCGTAGCCAGTGTGCTCTTGTTTTTTTCTCTTTATATTCTGCTGTAATGTGCGTAACGACGACGTTGAAATAGCCCAACAAGTAAAGGTTTTTCATACTTCAAGCCATTGAATATTGCCATTGAGTAATCAAGCATTGGATTTACGGTGATGCTTTTGAACAACATCCTTAAAGGCACATTACATATACATTGTTGACAAAGATATGACTCATAGCTATAAATAATGTGTTTGTGCGTGAAATAAAATGTTTAATGTCGAGTGCAGTTTGAGTCAAAGAAACAGCTCTGTGTGAAACGAGCTCTGTAATTGTTGGGTTTGCTGATTGCTCTACAGTTTCAGAAGTCTTTGTAGAAAATAGCAGATTACTTAAGGCCATCATAATGTAGTCAAAGCTTTTATTGTTTGAATAATTTGATTCAATGAACAGATTCAGGCTGACTTTAGATTGCCCTTCTGAACCTTTTGGACCTTTTGGACCTGTGGATGCACTCACTTTGTCGCATTTTTCCAAACAAATAAGCTTAAAACCAGTCCACCGAGGAGCCCTTAAGAAAAGGAGTGTCATTTCCAAATGGCCGTGTCCCTGTGATACCCTAATACACGCCAGCCTTTCATCCATCCACTTGTATTGGCATTTATAAGCCTCCGGTTTTGCTGAGGTTAGGATCTTGAGCATCATCTATTCACGACACACGTAAGAGGACATCGCTTTGTCTGTTGGCAGCAGGACAGGGATCCAAGTTGAAGGAGACGTAAAGACCTCTCCAACAAGAATTGGCAACTGATAAAGTCTCTGAATGTGACAGGCAAGCGATTAAGCTTAATGATCTTAAAACCAAAATGAATAAAACATAATCTAACACTGTTACTGTTTCTGAGTAGTGCAGTAAAAGGTATTCAATGAATCAATATTTGCTTCAAACTTTTGTACATTATAGTAAATAACAACAAACAGGATACAACATAAACAAAAATACACTGTTTGAAAAGGGGACATACAGATACAGTACAGATCAAAAGTTTGGACACACTTTCTCATTCAATGAGTTTCCTTTCTTTTCATGAGTGTTGACTGTAGATTCACACTAAGGCTGTGTAAGGGATATTTGACCAATAAGGAGAGTGATGGTTGCTGGGCCAGATGAACTGGCCTCCACAGTCACCGGACCTGAACCCAATCCAGATGGTTTTGGGGTGAGCTGGACCACAGAGTGAAGGAAAAAGTTCCAACAAGTGCTGAGCATTCTGGGATCTCCTTCAAGACAGTTGGAAGACCATTTCAGGTTGAAGCTCATCCAGAGAATGCCAATAGTGTGCAAAGCAGTAATCAGAGCAAAAGGTGCTACTTTGAAGAACCTAGAATATATTTTCAGTTGTTTCATACTTTTTTTTAGCACGTACATATGTTCCACAATAAACTCATGTGGAATAGAATGAGTTAATTCATAGTTTTGATGCCTTTAGTTTTAATCTACAATTTTCATAATCATGAAAATAAAAAAAACTTCCATTCCACATTCCATTTTTTTATATGAAAAATGCATAATTTAGCAATCAAATATCTGACTATTATCACAGTTTATGATCATTATTCGTGTGATTCTGAAAGATAAAATCCAGATAACCTTGTTCCATTAAAAGAGGGAAGCGAGGACATTTTATTGACTCACGTGGGCCCAACTTGTGTAAGTGCTTAGAACCAATGAGTGCCCCAAGTCCACTGTGCTCAGAGAACTGTGAGGGCAGTGCGAGTGTGTGCGAGTTTGGAAAAAACTCCACCGCGTCTAGTGCCGTCTCCTGGTGATCGAATGGGTGTTGATAGCCATGACCCCACGATGCACACACAGACAAACTGGCAATTAACCGGAGCATTAATGTATTTTAGCGATTGAATTGAAAAATGCAAACAAAAACACAATCATTTGTCCATCACTAAACAAGAGCACTTCTGATTCAGTCTCACCAAAAATGTTCTGTGCCCTGTCCCTTTTTAATGAAAATATGGTCACATCAGGATAAAATCTATCAAATACTTTTCCAAAATCTCAGAACCCCATTTTTGACCCCAGACACACATTGGGCACGGCTGAATATGAAAGGAGTAAGCCACACATGTAATACAAGATTGAATAAAATAATGGCAGGATTTGTGTATTACTCATAAATACTTGACTTGTGTGTTTGATTTGATTGCAAATGAAAACAGACCACTAATTGATTATAACTGCAGGGTCTCGCAGCAGAGTGTGTGCCTGCGTCAACGTTCCAACTAAAACATTGTTCATCTCAAAACAAAAACCCAGTGACACGTGGCATATAAAGCATATTCAGGTTGTCTCCGGCTTTGATGAACTGGCCCAGAGCCGCACCTCCAGCAAGGGTGACCTGTCAGTGTGATGGAGCAGCGTTCATTCAGAAAGTCCTCCAAAATCGGAACTAAGTTTAATCATCTACAGTGCGGTCTGTGTGTAGAGAGTACAACTTTTATCCCGCAATGTTCTCAGGGGTGAAGGTGAATTCCGTCTGTGCTCATGCAGTATTTGTATAAAAGTAATATATACAAATCCAAAATAAACCTATAAAACACAAGAACAAGGAAACAGGTGTGATGAAAAGAATAGACTGACAAGGTTAAACACATTGGGAGGGGGCAGAGAATATACAGGGGAACAGTATATGAGTA